TACTACTATGAGTTTGAATATAATGTGTTGACGAATAGGCAACCTTTGTAGTTTTATTAGTGAAGAGGTGCTGAATGTGGGATACGGTAAATTAAAAACAATTTGTTTTTTGCCCCTTTGAATAGAAGACAAAATGCAATGAGACACTAAATATGGTAGAGTAGCAATAATCAATGCAAGACAGAACGAGGCTGCGAGCTAAAATTTATATAAGCTTGACAGAAAGCTAACACCGAATGTGACAAATAGACCAAATCGTTGTGTTACTGGATTTGATTATAGTTGATTTGAGTCGTGGTGAGCATAAGAATGGAGGATCAAGCATATGAAAGATATATCTTAAAATCTATAATCCGTCCAAATTTGAAATAAAGTTTACAATTGTAGTTGGTAGCTATCTAAAATGTACTTTTTTCTTGCAATTTTTATTTAAAAAAAAAGAATTTACGTTAGTCTTTAGCAATGAATGTTATATTCGATGTGCCCTATTAACTTAAATGTCAACAAATTAAAATTATACAACATAATAAAAATGAAATTAGTTCGCTTCAATCACATATATAAAATATATATATAATAAATTATCCTTATTATCGTTGACCATGTACATTTTGTTCAATCGCTAGAATTTAAAAACATTACTGTATTATATGCTTCAATTGTTTATTATAATTATATTCTTTTTTGTGTTCTCATAAATTCTTATTAACGTTGATATAATTTCAGAATTTATATTTTATAAATATGCTATAATAATTTGTCATAAAATCATTTTGCACAACGTATATTTAGTTAAAATCTAAACGCTCAATAATATGTGCTACTCCCCTAATTATACTTTTGAATTATTACGACCCTATCAAGAGGAGGCATATTTACCAATATACAACACATTCTTACGAGTTAAAGCAGGGATATCCAAAGAAACTCAATTTTTTCAACTTTTAATTATTTTCGGTAATGCCGATTTCATTTTTTTAAATTTATATCAAATAAAAGTAATTAATTGCCACATTGAATAACAATTAGGAAAAAATTTAAAATAAAACCAATATTCAGACATTAGCTAATATACGATAATGGATATGGCATAATAATTGTTACCTGCCTAATAATTTTACTTAGTTCTATGAAATTAAACGCGTAAACATTAAACATTTTTTTTTTAGTAATTGACATTTTATTGATTTTTTACGATCAAACAACTATGGACAAATTTTTTAATTAAATGTCAATAAACTGACAAAAAAAGCAACTAGAACGATAATCGCTAAACAACCGGCTAAAAACTGATTGTTTACTTCAATTTAAATTTACTTTTCAACAAATTTTTGTTAGATTGACCTTGATGTTAAATATATATGAAGAATGTATATATATGTATATATAATAAATATAACGCGTCTGCCATATCCATATTATATTTATCCATGTATATGATCGTAACTTTTGACTCGAACGATAAAAAATCATTCTCTAAAATCCCCTCTGGAAGAAAGCTCTTTGTTCTACCGTTAAAAGTGAGCGAAGGCCGTTATCTTTGTTCTAGTTATGTGGGCCCTATCGTGTGCATAGTATTATTAACTACTCAAGATTTACATGTTTATTCTATATATATCACAAAAATCAAATAGAATCATTTGGTATGTTATATAAAACTAAACAAAAAAAGTGGGCTTTACGCTTGCAGAACCAATGTCTTTAATGATAATGATGATTAATTTCCTTTTTAGGCTTTGCAAGCAGAAGTCAAAATGTATAAATCTATGTCAGACAAATGTAAGGAACAATGTGCAAATGAATTGAGCAAACTGAAAGATAAATATCTTAGATTAAAAATGCAAAAAGAGTTCGTATAATTTTTTTTTGTAAAATAGAGGTTTCAATGTTTATGATTTTTGTTATACGAATTTTATAAAATTACGAAAAAATGAACTATTTAATAAATAGAATTTGTAAAAATATAATTTATTGTTTTTAAGCTTTTTTGGATAGAGCACTATATATAACCTCATAAACTTCTATTAAAATTTGTAACTTGCAGAGGTATGGAAGCTTGTTTGTCTCCAATAACGTTGCACAATGAAACAAAGTTGAATAAAATAATTCAAAATGAATAATTTTTTAATGTTTTGAGACTATTGTAAGTTGAACAAAATTATTTTTTTGTATTTGTTTGATTTTTTCAACAAAAATAATTGTATAAAATGTATTCATTTGTTATGCGCTATAACTGGTAGTCTAGGCCCTGAACCATAACAATAAACGATATTATGAATATCATTCTACGTTGAATACATTTCAACCCATTAACACGCAGTTTGTGACCCAGCGTCATCCGACAACTGTCATTGCGTCGTTGGATGTATTATGTGATACTTAATATTTGATCTATACATCGATATGTATCTTGCATGTACATATATGTATTTATATTTAACTATGTATACGTAGGTCTGATGTGGAAACTCGTATCACACATATTCAACCGCAATAGTTGTATTCACAACGCATACACAGCAATCTTGCGCACATGTCATTCGTAATTAGTTTTCACCAACGTTTTTTCAACCATGTTAAAACTTTTATAAAATTTCTATATTTTAATTATTTTACTAAACATTTTATTTAAATTACATTATTTTATTTATATAATCTACATAAACTTTAGTTATTATGATATTTACAACAAGGTTAATTTATTTCACAATTTAATACATATTTTATTTTCTATATTTTCACATTTTACATTAGACATTTATTTTAATTAAATTATATGTTTAAACAATATTTAGGCTCTGAAGATGGCATTACGCCGAAACAGCGCTGTTAGCTTAATTCCAGTTTTAGATAAATATGAACTCAAACAATACCGCCTCGTTGAATGTCTTATAAAGAAGTTAATTAATGCAAAATGGGCAAACAATTTCAATGAAATTTGCATTTCTGAAAACCTCGTTCCTAAATATATATATATATATATATATATATATATATATATATATATATATATATATATTAGTATATGATATTACATATCGTTATTTCATTTGATATTTTATGCATAAAGATCATTCAGACATTTTTGTAAAAGTTGTTTATCTTCTATCGAGTTTATTGAACTAAACATACAATTTGGCATCATCAGCAAAAAGGCTTGATTGAGAAGAACTGCTCTCAACAACTTTGAACATGTCATTAACATAGATGTTAAACAGAACAGGCCTTAGACACTTCCCTGGAGTAAGTACTCTGCTGCTTACATCAAAAGCGTCTGATAAGCAATTATTTACCTTTTATTTACCTTTACCCTGGTTGATCTACCTTTCAAATAATCACTAATCCATTCAACCAGATCTGTATCTATTCCGTATGCCAATCACTTTTTTAACAACAACACGTGAGATACTCGATAAAAAGCTTTCTCAAAGTCGTTATAAATAGTCCAATCATCTAGCAAATTCAATAACTGAATGATAGCTGGATATGTTTAAGAATATTTTATGATGCTTGAATATAACATAATAATATAATATAACCACATAACCATAAACATTAATCGCCAATTACTTACTACTCGTTTCAATCATAGAATAAATAGTTGTCTTTTTTCACCTCTAATTTTTTAAATATCTTGGTTTTGCAAATGTGTGTATATATATATATATGTATATATATGTATATATATATATATATATATTTACACAATATAACATATATCCATAGTTTACAGTCTATTTGTTGACGTTTTAACGTTTTGCTTAGTAAGGACTTATTCTTTCTTGAGTTTTATGTTTTATATTGCTAATAAGTAATTCAAAGAAGACTTTTGTTAATGTAAAAAAATGATGTCGAGTCGTACGAAGTTTGATAACGAAACCGAAAAGGAACTATATGAAAAATCATTGGTTAGTACTTTTTTAAATTTTAAAGCTTAGTTTTAAATTTTAATTTAGTTTTTTTTATCTTTATAAAAAGTTTATATTATTTTCTTCATTCTTTTTATAAAATATACATAGTCATAGTGAATAGCAAGTTTTGTAACAAATTTCTTGTAATGATATAAATTATAAATAAAGTAAAATAAATAAATAAATAATACACCAAAATTAGAATACTAAAATTTTTAGTCTCTAAAAATAATGGCAGTTTTTAGATAAAATAAAAAGTTGTAAACTAGGTTGTTTTTTGGCATCCACAAAAAAATATATTGGACTGTGGTTCACTTACATTTCGTTAGATTGGAGGCACGTAGAAAAAATTTAATGTGTGTAATATTAATAATTTTTGAATGTGGCCAATTAATAAAATTGCAAAAATATAATTTTCCTCCTACCCATGTAACTGTAACAAACCCATGTAATTAATTTTGTGAGATAAGCGAGGATGTGAGAGTATAAAATTTATATTCTAAATTTATACTATAAATTTATTTATATTTATACTACTATATAAATACAGTGAAATTAAACTAATTTTAATAAAGAAAGTAAACTTGTCTGAAGTCAACAAACGTTTATTTGATTAACATTACTTAACTCTGACATTAGCCAAACCAAAATTTATGATAAATATTTCAAACTTAAAATTATTTTTTATTTCATAAAAATATTTAATTTACAATACTTTTTATTTTTCTGAAATTGCTTAATAAAACTGAACATTAGTTAACAAACGCTTGTTAGCTTCTCACAAGTGAAAATAAGTGCTTTGAAAATTTTAGGCTAATAAAGGTTAAGATTAAAGTAGGTGAAAGCTTGTTTTTTAAAACAGCTCTTTTTAGAGCCACCAACTTGAGGAGATCTGTCAAGTACGACGATCTCAAATTAGCTTGAATATATGAAATCAGATACTAAATATGCTTAATATGCTAAATATGCTTAAATATTATGAAAATGCATGAGATAAATTAAAAAATAATCAAAACGAATAAAATTTTTAAACAATAAATAAATATTTATTAATGAAGTATAAAAATTTGAAAATTTTAAAACTAAAAAATGACACCAGACTCTAGAGTGCGTTGGAAATGTGCCTGGGTGTGTATTCTAAGTATATGGACACCCATCACTTAAATCTAAATGGCTTTTATCAAAGCCACCAAATGAAATAATTAAAAAATAAATTGCTTTATAGTTGCTTTTGTTATTTTTGTTATTTTTTGCAAACATTTGGTACATTTAAAGTATATTAATAATGCTTATTCCAGCCTTTACCTGTTGTGCAAAAAAGTGTTTTTTTATTCCTCCCATTGTCAAAGAAGTTCATTACAACAATAACAGCACAAAAATATGAATCTGTTTTTTTTTTTAAATATTTCCATTGTAAATAAATATGCTATTCTATTTAAATTTATTTCATTTTAAATGTGCTAAGTTGAATGTTTACTATTCAAATTATATGATATTAACATTCTAATTTTTATTATTATTTATCTAAGTTCACTTTGAAGTTTATTTATATTCTCACTAAATTAATTGCACAGGTAGGCAGAAAAGTATACTATACAAAAAATATTTAATAATAAATAGAATCATTTATTTATGCACTATTATTTTATTGTGTATCTAAAGATAATCTAACTGATTTTTTTGTAGATCTAGTTATCTAAAAGAATATTAATTAATAAATTTTGATTGATATTTGCCTACAAATTGAGTTGTAAGAATAAGATAAATGTTAACTTTTTATATTGTTTCTAAAAATTTGAAAGATGTTTCGAAAGCCTTCAAAAATATTTGGTAAATAGTCTGCTGGTCATGTAAGATAAAAACTTTATGATTTTATTCTGCTCATGGATTCATATTGTTATAACCGCTGGAATGATTGCGCTATGTTATTTGTTATCTTAATTATTGTTATCTTTGCTGTATTTGATATCGAATTTATGCTAAAAATCTACTGTAGAGGCTATATAAGATTAGTGGATAGAGAGTTAAGCAGAGGTTTCCAGCGAGGTTTGAAGCAAAGTTGTAAATGTGGTTTATCTAGTTACATGGATTAGTTTAGGGTTTCTATTACTGTTGGCATTCAAATAAACATTCAACAAAGTTTGCATTTGAAGCAGATGTGTCTATCTGTCTGAAATCTTGAACCTACAAAATAGTGATAACTCGACTATTGTTGGAAACTACAACACTGGTGTTGGGAATATGGAGATCTTTGATATTATAACATTGGTTCTGGTAGTTACGAATGTCCAATATATATCAATATATATCAATATATTTTATAGAGATAAATGCAGGTCTGCCTACAAACTTTTCAATTTTATGGTCTTTTTTGGATACATTGGTTGATTGTTGATTCATGACATTACATACTTGGAACTTGACTATAAATGTAACTTATTATCAGCACCTATATTTGGGAAAGTCAACAGAATAGTCTATATGGGGGACAAACCTGCATAGTATTTACAACGTAGCAAACATGCATTGTATGTTTTAAGTCATTTAAATTAAATGGAATAGAAAATTATAACAGTTGTTCAATATTTTTATAATTTTTAAATTGTCAGACGTCCAGTGTGCAGAAAGCCATTAATTCAAGTGAAGGTGCTGTCAAGGAAAAGCACGCCAGAAGTAACCTCTCACTCAACTTGTCTTTATTAAGATCAGTCTTTTGTATATTTGTATCACAATTTAACATATGTTTTCAATTATTTATTTTCAAGTTGTTGTCATTGCTTCACACAAAGAGAAATCTTCGCTGACATATTGGAGTATCGTAAGACGTCTTCCTCTGCAGGACAACCCCTTGGTGGCATGGAAATTTTGTCACGTTACACATAAACTGTTAAGAGATGGCCATAAAAATGTAGGTGGTTAATTCATAAACCATATTTAACGGTGAATTTTCCCGTTCGGAATTTTCACAAGTTTTTTATATTAATTATTAATCAAATGCTTTTGAATTTTATGTCAAAAATAGATTACTTCAGTTTATTTTCATCAATTTCAAATTTTCGAAGTTTGAGTTTATTGGGTTGCAAAAAATCTCACTTCAAGCTAAAACAATTTTGATAACTGAAGGCTGGTTAATAAAAAAAGACTATAGTATAATGCACCGTAGCCTTTATGGTCAATATTTTAAGGTATAGCAGGTCAAACTTAAAAATGATTAAAAAAAATGATGTAAAAGACTTTTTTTTCAAACTGTTGCGTTGAATAGAGTAATTATTATAAAAGAAAATATGTAGGGTATAAAACAAATTTTAAAAATATATGATTGAAAAATGCTATATTTGATTTTAAAAAGTGTTGCAAATTAAAAATAATTCTAGGTGTTACCAGAGTCATTTCACTCTGTTAAATTTATGAACGAGGTTGGAAAGATGTGGGGTCACTTAAAAGATGGCTATGGAATTTTAATATCATGCTATATAAAACTCTTGGAGCAGAAGCTGCATTTTCATAAAAAGGTTGATTATCTCATTCTCGTGCAATTTTTGATTGTAATTCTATTTAAGGAATTAGTACAAATTTTAATATTTATATTTTAATTCTGTGTCAATTTGTTTATGCGAATATTTTGTTCACCAATTCTCTATTTCCAAGTTACCACTGTAACGATAAATAAAATCAAAGATGACAAGTGACGAAATAGATAGAGAGCAGCAGTTAAATAAAACTTGTCTACAGAATGTTTTACGATAACGACAGAGCTGTTATAAGATTTCAAAAATTTCCAAATCCAGTTGTTTTACAGGTAGGCTGGTTAGTACGGAGGAACTTGTGCCATTATAAATTAATGGATAGGATTCTTTTTTAATCTGACAAATTTAACATGGCCTCAAAAGCAAAAGCATTTTATATATGTTTTTGGAAAATATTATATTTATTGGAGGTATAAAATTATTGCCACAATGAACTTACGTTTAAGTTGAGTAGGATTTTTTTCTTGAGCGTATTTTGATTTTTTTTATTTCGTTGATAAAATATATTTCAGATGCCTCTCATTCCTGGGAATTTAGCGATGGACGACAACAAATTGGATGAAATATGCAACAAAGATATCAATAGCTAGTTAGAGTGATTTTATGAAATCATGTTGTTTTATAATGTATTCATGCATTTCTGTCTTCTGGAAGTGTCTGTTTGGCAGCTAGAATGGTAAAAGTATGTTGAAAACCGTGTGCATTTAACGGCCTGCTTCATAAGTTATTAATAGCACAAATTATATTACTACTCTATCAATTACGTCCATGCACGTTTCACTTTAGTTAAATAATCCATTCAGTTTATTGTCATAATATACTTTACTATCATATTAGCCAGTTTATATGTGATACACACAAAATTCACAATCTTTTGTTTCTCAACATCCAACCTGGGTTTACTTGATAGCGCCGTTGAATGATTGTGACGAGTAAGTGGTTCATAATAAATATATCATTTTTAACATGTAATGTTGTTACATATCTCTAATTTTACATTTTTTAGTTTTGAATTAAGCGTAGACATGCTTGACTACCTGGACTCAATACTCCAACTTCAAGCATTAGGTAACACTTTCTCAGTTGTTTTTATGAAATTTAACTGAATTTGAATGATTCCATATACTTTTTGATTTTAATATTTTTTTGTTAAATTCATTTTTTGACAATATAACGATCTATGATATATCTGGTTAAAGGATTGAAATTTGCACTCAAATTTTCTATCACTGCAACATTAAATTTTCACACTAATGTTTATATTTCTTATTTATATATTTTTACTTATGATGGAATGGCGTCGAGGGGTATTTCGGTTTCATCATAGGTTGCCAAACGGCAACCCCCGATCTCGGGGAAAATGTCGTTTAAACGTGTGTTGTTGTTGTTGTTATATATTTTTATAAGCGTATATATGTAAATAGTTATACTTATATATATATATATATATATATATATATATATATATTTACAATATTCTATGAATTCTACCGAATGTTTGGCGTTAATATGTTTGTAGTTCGTTTTTTCGATTTTTCTCACTAAAGTTTTTTGGTGAACGTTTAGTTTATTAAAATTCAAAATAAACTTATTTTTCGAATTCATGCTGCAAATAAGGCCATATTTCGATTCCGAATGAATCATCGTCAGTGCTCCTTGTTGTATATATAGGGAAATATTGACTTTGTCAAGATGAACTTTGACGTTGTAAAAATTAACTTTGGTGTTGTAAAATTGAACTTTGATGCGAATTAGGTGTCAGGTTTCTTAATTGGCTGGTCATCTTCTTTGGTCTCCTTTTCTTCATCGATAGCATCATATTCTTCTTCGTCACTATTTACGATGCTAGTTTTTATTACTATTATTATTGTAAATAGTGACAAAGAAGAATATGATTGGTTATTTTGAATTTTAATAAACTAAACGTTCACCAAAAAATTT